GGAACTGCAAAAGTAGTGCTCAGCATTTGCAGCCTCCTTATTAATGTTCCTTACTGTCTCAAAGTGATCACTTGTATTGACTCTTACTTTTCAACCATCATTGTTGATTTTCTAATTTCCTTTATAGATTTCTTTGACCTAAGATTCCTTCATGTTCTTATGGTTCTGTTCTTTATTTATTTTCACCTCTTCAAGCAATTAAGCATTATGTGGAATTTTTTTCTTACATTCCTACTTTATATTGTCTGTGCAAACAGCTTGCGCTGATGGAGTTGTGAGAGTGTTTAAGTTGGATGATGCTTCAAGTAAAAGTTTCAAGTATGTGAATTTTATAAGCCTCTTGGGACATCATATAAAATAAATGTCAATCATATCTCATATGCATAAATTTTATTGTCTCTACTCTTTTGCAGGTTTCTAAGGATTAATTTACCTGCTGGTGGTCATCCAACAGCAGTTGTGTTTTCTGATGATGCGTCCTCCATTGTTGTGTCATCTTATACTCTTTCTGGTTCTTCATTATATATGTATGGAGAAGGGAAGCCTGTATCTTCAGAAAATAAACAAACAAAACTTCCTCTACCAGAAATTAAGTGGGAGCATCACAAGGTTCATGATAAAAAGTCAATATTGACCATGTTTGGAGCCTCAGCAACTTATGGAAGTGGTGATGGAAGTACAATTATTGCCTCTTGTTCAGAAGGTATCTTTCCAACACCATTTCCCATTGGAATCTAAGAAAATGTTCTGTCTGTCTGTCATAATTTATTTATATATTCAGGGTCTTCTCACCTAATAGTATGCTGCGATTATGAAGGGAATTCAATTTTAATCAGAAGTAGCTTGCAAGAAAATAAACCCATATATGGGGAAGGGTCCATAAAATGATTTAAGTAGATCATATTTATTTCACCACTAAATACAGCAAACATCTAAGCTACCTATACCGTCTGACATATAACCTTGGAACTTCTGAGTAAGAAAAATTGAATTGTTAACTAAAATTTGGATGTGGTGTGAGATTTATGCTGCTTATAAATCAAAGGCACTGTATTGTACTTTTAATTCAAGTTGCTAATGAAATTATTGTCTGTCTTTTTGCTGAAATTTAATACTTGATGTTGGCTTTCTCTAAGCTATCCTAAATTTGATTTCTAATTCAGGGACTGATATCATTGTTTGGCATGGAAAAACCGGGAAGAGTGTTGGTCATGTGGATACAAATCAATTGAAAAATAACATGGCTGCTATATCACCCAATGGTCGTTTTATTGCTGCAGCAGCATTTACTGCAGATGTGAAGGTGAGGTTTAATGCGCGCATCTATTTTTTTTTTTTTTTGAATTACTTATTTATTATGTGTGCACCCATAGAGGGGCAACTAGTACTATGCAGTAAGACGTATCCTTTAAGCTTTATTTTTAACTAGCTAGGGTTGAAGTTTAAGCATGTGAAGTTTGTATATCCAATCACCTTCCTTTTTCACTGTTCTCTCTCTCCATATATATGTATACACAACAGCTTTTATTTTAATTTTGTCAATGGTCAATGAACAGTTTTAGCCAAATGATTTCTAATGTTGTAAGACCAGTGTAGACAAATGAATTTGTGGAAAAAACTTGACTTTAGAAACTAAATTAATTAGTCTGTTTCATCTATTTAGGTAGAAAAACAAATGTAAAAGCAGGGATTGTGAAGAATATTTTACTTAAAGCAAAAAGGAGATAAAACGGGGGATGTGACACTTTCAAAACGGGGTTAATACTAATTTAATGGAAAGGACCAAATTAACTCTATTTAAAACATATTGAGACTCAATTGAGTCAAAAAGAAAAATATATAAATCAAAGTGAATCATATTTTAAATATAGGGATCAAATTACTAATCAAGTCTTTTTTGTTTATAATCTGTCAATAACTTTGCCTATTCAAGAACCAAGATAGCAGCAAGTATATATCACTTGAAACTGCACCATACAAATTGTGAAAGCCAGAATAAATCAAATTAAATATAATATTGCAATCACTTGTAATTTGTCTTTGACATGAATAGAATACAGTTGTCTAACAATTTGTTAGATGACCTCAGGGAACTTCGCAATACACCATTATTCATTACTATGCTTTGTATTATATTTTTTGATTGGCAACGTTTATTAGAATGTTATTGCTTCTGTTTTAAAACATATCTTTATGTATTCTCCATTTTTTCTTGTTTACAATGTTTGGCAGGTCTGGGAGATTGTTTATGCGAAGGATGGATCTGCCAAGGAAGTTTTAAATGTTATGCAGCTCAAGGGGCATAAGGTTAGCATTATTATTTGGGGTGACTTAAAATTTAATTTAATCTCCCATTTATACTTATATAGACTTTTAAGCCAAAAAATTCAAAGATGATTTTTTTCCTTCTATAATGCATTGCTACTCTGTTTATATAAAAGGTACACTGTAGATTAATTTTCATATACTTTTTATGCAGTAGTCTTATATTTCATGTATTATATTAGAATATCTTGGGTCAATGGAAATTTCATGAGCATGATATGCATGAACAATTTTCATGAAGGCATGCCTGCATTTAAATATTGACTATTATGATTATATGTTTATTACTTGTGTGTCAGAGTGCTGTGACTTGGTTATGCTTTACACCGAATTCTGAGCAAATAATCACTGCATCCAAGGATGGTACAATGAGAATATGGAATATCAATGGTGAGCACATTCTGAAAGATGATTATTTTTTTTACTTATATAATTGGTTTTATTTTTCTAGCAAACTCTTGATGTCGACTGCAGTTGCAAATACTTTTAAAGATTGTAGACAAGAATATTTGGTCATGCCTCATGCTATTAGTAAAGAATTCAAAACAGCACTTTGATGAGATTCTATGGCTGAAAACGGACATGTTTTCTTTTGTGCGTGTTAATTTATTTGACCTGATAAATGGGTTTGTTATTTGATCAGTCAATGGTATTATTTCCTCCATGGGGTTTGGGCAAGTAGGGTTCTTATCCAAATGTTCATATGTGCTGTCTTAAGGACTAGGTTGTTAATTAATTCAATTCATCTCACCTTATTTTCCTTGTATTCTGAAGTTCGATATCACTTTGATGAGGATCCTAAGACACTGAAGGTGTTCCCTATTCCTCTTCGCGATTCTTCTGGTGCTACTTTGCACTATGACCGCCTTAGTATTTCCCCGGATGGAAAAATTTTGGCTGCTACCCATGGTTCCACATTGCAGTGGTTATCTGTTGATACTGGAAAGGTTTTGGATACAGCTGAGAAAGCCCATGACAGTATGTCCAATCATCAACTCTTTTAGTTGTTCCCTTGCAACATATAAAGTAATTTTCTATTTGTGATCTTCCTGTCCTTGATTATTGTTTTCATTTGAAGGTGACATTTCTTGCGTTTCCTGGTCTCCTAAAGCTATTCCAATGGGTAATGACGCTAATCTGACTTCATTCCTTTTGGTCCTTCACATAATTTACCGTGTTCTTAACAAATTTCCACACAAATTTTTGCAGGAAATAATAAAGTCTTGGTTTTGGCCACAGCCAGTGCTGACAAGAAAGTAAAGTTGTGGGCATCTCCGTCTATACCTTCATCCTAAACCACTGAGCTAGTGCACCAATTGCCATCATTAGCATTCCTATGCTCGCACTGACAACTAATTTCCATTAAAGACAGATGCTTCAAAAGTTTCTCTTCACAACTTGATTACAGCTGCATGGTCTCTTTTGAAAGATGAATGAGAAACTATGATGAGCTTAAATGATACAAAGTCCCTTTAGTTGCTGCTTTAGACTTGTACATTTCCGAATTTTTGTGATAAATAATTTATAGACACATAGATAATGTTGTTGGGTTTGGTTTTGGTTGTGCTAGTGAGGTTGACATGAATCATGAAGTGATGCGAGAATAGTGTTTTAGTGCTGTGGGAGAGAACATAATGGACGTGTTGCTGGTGACTACAGTTTATGTCATCAAAAGAAATCATTTTCATGCATTTTTGTGCTACAAGTCCACAACCGAACTATTAAACTCTTGTTTAGGTTAAAAGTAAGTACGAAGGTACAACCGAAGTTGCAACCTAGAAACTGAAAACAAAGAATTAAGGATAATAAAAAAAGTACAGACTCAAAAATTATGGAGCTAAAATGGTATAAAAATTATACATTGTACACCTAAATAAAAATTATTTTAGAATTTGAATTGAAAACATATTTGTGAGTCGTCACTAATTTTGTTGCATTGCAAGTAAAAAAAGATATCTTCTTAAAACATGTTTATGCATATTAAGTCAGAGTCAAATTATACACCTAAGTAGCATAAATTCAATACCACTATAAATCTATAAAACTATAATATGTAACCGTCATAATATGAAAGACAAAAATTATAATTTTGAATTGCAAAAAACATTTCAGACCCAAGTACTAACAAATCTAAAAATTCAACACCACATACTTTTTTTTTGGAATGCGAGTTAATAAGGTTTATTAAATTTTTTAACCTTTTAAGTTGTTACAGCTCGAATAATTTAAAAGGAAAAAAAAGCAATTAATATACTGTCATAAGTAAATTAACTCCCTTTTATTGGATTAAACTAAAATATCTAGAGAGGTTGAAAACCTAATAGTAAATAAGTTAATAATTTTCTTACTGGAAATAAATAAATTATTAATCTACTTAAAGGACACACATCACTATCATTTATATCAATCAATATTTAAAATATTGTGTAATTCGGTGTTCCTATTAGTTTATAAACAACATATGTGTATAAAAACCTTTTAGCATAAATGTAGAAAATAGAAAATATGAACCACACAATGTAAGTTTCTATTGTGTTAAATATAAATATAATTAGATCATAACGTTGAAATAAAAATATAATTAATCAATAAATTTGAACACAACACGTAGATAGTTAAGTTTTTTTAGAGAACAATTAAGTTATTTATCAAACTTTATTTCTTTATTTATTTGACCATAGAGCCAATTTTAAAGCTGAAAGCATAACACAGCTACTTCATCTTGTACTTTTTGGTGTAAGTAGAATTTTCCCTTCCCTTCTGTTTTATGTATTGGTAGCCCTGCAAAAATAAGGTGTAGGAACCCCATTAGTACAATGATGAGTTATCTTTTACTGAAATATTGAAATTTTCAAATGTTATATATATATATATATATATAAATAGAATAAAAACATTAACTAATGCTTAAAGCAATTATTTAGAAAGATGAAGGTTACCTTATGAGTTCCATAAATGTAGTCACAATAGGTAAATACTGAGGCAAAGTTGCTTTGAGTTTTTTCACCAACATAGTGATGGTAGTCATGGAATGCTGCTCCTCCATAAAATGGTATAAACTTTGTGCAACTCCAAGGAAAATCATACCTTAACCATATCATAAGATAAATAACATTTTAAAATAATTAGTTTATGTATTTTAAACATTATTAAAAGAATTTAATGAAGGTTATATTTGTAATTGCATGAAAAAGAGTATGTAATAAAAAAAATTAACCATAAAAATCAGTAACTGGATTTCTTATTTACACTCTTCTTGTCTGAGTTGTTCTTTCTTGAAATTTTAGACTGTATAAATGGAAATAGTAATTCTAAAAATCATATAATTTAAAAGTTATTTCCAAAAAGAAAAGATCACATGGGATAGTTTGAAAGTGACTATTGAATTCAAAAGCTTGTTCCAAATTGGACAATGATAAGGACAAAGCAGAAATTTTAATATTTATGAGGTGCAGGAAGAAATTA